AAGCGTGCTGCAGCGTTTGCGTCCCAACCGGGACGGACAACGCAGCTTCCGAGGCAGGAGTGAACAAATTGTTCACCGCCGCATGGCCCCTGCAACTCTTTGTGCAAGTAGTCGCAGCCTGGGCTCGCAGGCATAAATGGTCAGTAATCGCCTCCCACATCCCGGGAGAGCAATATTGCTGCCTTTCAAAATTGGCCGCAGTCTCAAGTGCGCTTTGCGCCGCACAATATCTGGCCACACAAGTCAGCTTTGACTTTGTGCTCAGAACCCTAAAGTGGGGGTATTTGTGCAGGCTCCGCACGCGCAACTTTTAACTACGAAAATAGTACGCGAAGTCCACTTTCGCAGCTGGAGCTTGACAATCGCAACTTTTAAGTACGAAAGTAGCACGTAAAGTCCACTTGCGAAAATTGCAGTACGTGAACGCAGCTGCTGGAAAATCACGACTTTTAAGTACCAAAGTATTACGCGAAGTCCAATCGCAACTTTTAAGTACAAAAGTACTACGCGAAGTCAACTTTCGGGGCTTGAAAAGCGCAACTTTGAAGTGCAGATATAGATGGATAGATAGATACATCGATAGACAGATAGAGAGATAGCTAGGGAGATAGATAGAAAGAGAGATAGAGAGAGAGAGATAGATAGATAGATAGAGAGAGACAGAGAACAGAGATAGAGAGATAGAAAGATAAAGAGATAGATAGATAGATAGAGAGAGGCAGAGAACAGAGATAGAGAGATAGAAAGATAAAGAGATAGAAAAATAGATAGAAAAAAAGAGATAGATAGATAGATAGATAGATACAGATAAAGAGAGAGATAGAAAGATAGATAAATAGATGGATAGGTAGATAGAGAGATAAATAGATAGATAGAGAGACAGACACAGAGATAGATATAACTTGCCGACCTGACAGCCGATTTGGCCGGCCTCTCATACGACTCATCAAGAACACGCTTGTGCGCCGTGGGCAAAGGCAGCAGGAAAAAAGTGAACTGGGGGTCATTCTCCAAGTTCTGAATGGCCTCATCCATTGGCAATGTCCCGTCAGCTCGTCGTCGCACCCCCTTGAGCTTCTCAGCAAGACGCACCCAGGCTTGTTGATCGGCTTTGAGAATTTGCTGAACATTGACCCAGGTGACTCAAGATAAACAAACAGACAGATAGATAGACAAACACAACAAATAGATAGAAGGGGAGATAGAAAGATAGATAGATAAGTAAATAGGTGGATAAAGAAATAGATAGATAGATAGATAGGTAGATAGATAGATAGATAGAGAGGTACATAGATAGATAGGTAAAGAGAGAAAGAGATAGAGAGACGGTAGAGAGATGGATTGATAGAGACATGGAAAGAAAGGCAGATTGAGAGATACAGAGATGGATAAATACACGAGAGATAGAGAGATAGATAGATAGATTGACAGATAGAGAAAGAGATAGATAGATAGGTAGATTCATAGAGAGATAGAGAGATAGATAGATAGATAGATAGATAGAGAGATAGAGAGATAGAGAGACAGATAGATAGATAGATAGATAGATAGATGGATGGATGGATGGATGGATGGATGGATAGATAGATAGATAGATAGATAGATAGATGCGCGCGAGATAGATGGAGAGATAGACAAATAGAAAGAGACAGAGAGAGAGAGAGAGAGAGAGAGAGAGAGAGAGAGAGAGACATAGAGAGATAGATAGAAATAAATAAATAAATGGATAAATACATAGAGAGATAGAGGGAGAGAGTGAGAAATAGATAGAGAGATTGATAGGTAGATGGATAGAGAAATAGAAAGAAAAATAGGAGAGATAGAGAGATAGGTAGATATATAGATAGAGAGATAGGTAGATATATAGATAGATAGAGAGATAGATAGATAGATAGATAGAGAAGATAGATAGAGAGATAGATAGATAGATTAGCAGATAGATAGCTAACACGAGAGATAGATAGATAGGTAGTTCGGTAGATAGATAGGTAGAGAAAGATAGATAGACAGGTAGACAGATAGATAGACAGCCAAGAAACAAAAGAAAAAACAGATAGAAAGAAGGAAAGAAGGGAGGAAGGAAGGAAAGAAAGGAAGAAAGGAAGAATGACGGAGAAAAAAGAAACAATGAAAAGGAGGAAGAAGAGAAAAAGACTCAAGCAAAAGAAAGAGAAAGAGAACTATCGTTTTTCTATTTTTGAAACTTCCGCCCACCGGCTTCGCCGGCTCTACTGGCAAAAAGGAGCAGAACGATTGGGTCGGTCGGGTTTTGGGTTCCCCTCTTGGCTTGAAGCAATGAACAGGACTCTATCTTTTGGCTTACGAGCTTAGAGGGGTTCATTTTCGTGGCTCGGCATGGCGCGAAAGGGAAAGCGGCAAAGCGGGCAAAGCCAGGGTCTAGATCCCCTGCCGAAAGTAGTGAAGCAATGAGGAGAGGCTGAGAAGTTGAAGCAAGCAGCACTGAGCTGCAGAGGCGCTATCAAAGGTGTTGCGGAGTACCGAGAGAGAGTGCTGCTTCCCGCTTTACGGAACTTGCATTCCAATTTGAACATCCCGTGGCGTTCAGTGAGCTGCAGCAAGACAGCATCGCTTGGTGTTTCAATCGCAAGCTTTGCATGTTTGTTCCTCGCCCCGCCAGTGGGTGTTGGCCTTGGCATAAGAGCTGCTGCAGCTGGAGGTGTTTCTAACTTCGCCGACTGGAGTTTGGAACAAATTTTTGCGGATGAGTTTTCGGAGATGATGAGAAAAAATGCTGCCAGGCATGCCAACATGGTGACAGCCTGCAGAGTTTTCAGAAAGCTCAGCGAAGAGCTCCAAAAACTTCAAAAGCCTGAAAACCGCCCTGAGCCTGACGTTACGAAGGCTCTTTATTTGGCGTTCGGAGTTGCTTGAGACGCAACAACTGTTGCTTGCCACATCCAAAAGCTCAAGAAGCTTGGCAAATTGGCTGCAGCCATTGGAAAGGACGCCAACAGAGTGATCGTGCTCGCCAAAGATGGGGCTTATCTCAGCAATGCCGCTGCAGTGGGTGTCAAATGCGTCACTGACGTTGGCACCAAGGTGTTTAGTGGAGTTGGCTTGGCGTTTTCGCTTCACGACACGTAGTCCAGTTGGCGGAATTTGAAGGGTGTCCACAAGGAGATCAAGAAGACAATCGAACGTTTTGAAGAAAATGTGTTGAATCTCAGAACACACTTGACTGCGATAACTTAAGCTGGCGTCAGAAATGGTTGTACCACAGAAAGCCTGCTTTGAAAAAGACAGCGTACAACTTTTCAGACAAGCGATTTGGAATAGCCTTGTTTTCCTGTATCATGCTTTCTGTGCCTGCATTGCATCAGCGTTTTGCTTTGCATGTTTTTCAATGTCCGACTGATGAAGAATGCTGCTTGTGTCACAACATGAGCGACCTGCAAGGCATTGATACCACAGCACCTCCAGCTGTTGGGTCCGTCAGCTCAGCAAGCCCCACAAGGACTTCAACGTTGATGCAAACGTTGCATTCATGTCCTGCTGGAAGGCAAGTCCGAACCCCCGTGATGCCATGGGGGATTTGCAGCAGTCCTCAAACGTTTCCTTCCTCCATTTTGTGTTCTGGACCACTACCCATAGGTTAAACGGCTGATATTGGCCTAAAGTGGATTGCAGTTGTGAAGTTTGAGGATGGCGAGGTTTGAGTTGATAAATGTCCCCACCTCAGCTGCGATTTGTTCGGATTCCTTAACGCTTTGTGAGATGGATGACCTGAAAGAGGCCATGTTCTCACGTTGTACTCTCATAGCTTGAGGCAAGTGAGAAGGAGAAGCTGACCATTGCAGAAGGAGAGCGTTGTCGTGTGAAAACACCCATTTGCTCCATTCCCTCACCTCACCCCCTTGCCGTGTCTCAGTTTAGGACGAGGGCGGGCATGAAAGAAGAGGAAGAAAGAGAAGTCAGCTGCGGCAAATCCCAGCCGAGCACTCGGTTTCGATGCCTTTAAGCTCAGTGCTATGGTTTCGTGCTACCAATAGCTGGAGCTTAAACCCGTTCATGAGTTTCCTTTGGTCAGAAAGGTAGACTAATGGCTCGTGGTCAACGTGTTTTTCCATACCAGCATTGCAGCATCGGCATGTTTGCGGTACCATCTTCAACCTTGTAATCACAACTAGAGAACCATATGTTTTCGCGTTGAAAGTACGTCTCTCCTTCTTCTTCATTTATTTCTATCCTCCAACCATCTTCTGCAGCTTCCACTCACTCAAACATTCAAACTCTTCATCTACTGCATGCATATGTTCTACGGAGGCGCGGGGCATCACCGGCATGAAATATCGTGCTTGCAGACTCTGAGAACATGTCGAGGTATATGACTCCTCCAACACCCCCAGTTGATACGTGCTCTGGTCTTCATGCCCGTCAGAACTAAAATTAGACAGCTGATCAATCGCCCTTTTCACATTTAATCATCGATACATTTCATGGGACTTTATTGTACAAGGTATTTCTCTTTTTACCAACTCCTTCAAGTATTTACCATGAACCACATTAAGCCTTTTCCGGAAATCTATGTTGCCCTGATTTGCTTGAACACAATACAAGGTGCAAATGTTGAACCTGTTAAAATCGCAAGTGTGGTCGGAAGGCTTCCAAAAATCAACCTCTTTGACAACTGGGACATAGATAATTCTACTGCAAAGGCCTCACAGGTATCAATGCTACATCTTGCGCTGACAGCAACTTCTTTGCCTACGTTGCTTCTTATCTTTCCGTGGGGTATTATTGTTCTGCATTCATCCAAACTTTCAAACTAACTTCAACAATACTTGCAGTTTTTCTGTTAAACTTGAACCTTACTCACTTTGTTATACACATCTTCAGAATAATTGGTACAGTTTTATCAATCTTGTCTTTGTGTCTAAATTCTGATTGACTGTGGAACACTGCACTTTGACCCCACTGTGGGCCGGCCCGACCAGGGCCTTCCAAAGTGTGGCGTGGTGCCCTTTGGGCCCTTCATCCGTTGCTCAGAGTCAGAGGAGCGTACCGGGGCGTTTTGAAGTTCCCATAGCCATGGCCCTGGCGGCTATGCAGTCCGTGGCAGCTTTGGTCCTCTGTGGCCTTACCCTGTGCTTCGCAGAGTGCCAGGGCGACTGTGAAGCGGAGGACACTGGGCTTGTGCAAAGGCCGAAATACTACAACTACGGCTATTACCACAAGGACTACTACCACAAATACTACAGCAGGCGCCGTCGCCGGGACGCTTGGCTTGCCCAGTGGATGTGGTGGCTCGCTGCTTTTGTTTTTGAGGGCTGAGTGGGTGCAAAGCACAGCGTTTTTTTAATGCAATCTAATCGAATGCGTTCCTATCCAAGGAGCGGAAGAAGCCGAACATCTTGATCATCATCATAGATGACTTGGGCTTCAATCAGGTTGGCTTTCGGGCCAAACCTGAGAAGAATTACGACGTTCCCGCCTTAGTTGTACCAGATTTGGTCTTAGAACTCAGCAGCCGTGGCCCCTTTGCCAGTTCACGGCCCAAGGCGGCGAAGAACGACTTCGGAGAACGCACATGACAAAACCAAGAACAGCTTTGCTCCAAATGATCCTTGTTTTCGCCAGATCCTCCATCCCCGCAGAAAAAAAAAATGTTAAGGCAGGGTGGGCTGAGGTGAAGACCCCGAACATCGACGCCCTGGCAGACGAGGGCATCGTCATGGATCGCTTCTATGCGACCCCGTGGTGCGCTCCCAGTCGCGGGGCGATACAGTCAGGACGCCTGGATGTGATCAACCCCAACGTGCCCAACAACGCCCCGCGGCGATATCTTTTTCTCTCTTTTTTGTGCACGGAGAAGGGCTTCTCCTGGCCGAACAGTTTTTTTTTTGGGGTTTCCAATCTTGAAGACAGCAATTCGGCAAGCCGGCAAGCTCTGACGTGAACCAAGCAGCACGAGATTTGCGTTCTGTTTTCTCTTATCCTCATGCTGCCTGTCGTTGATCACGAAGCGGCGTGACATGTCCTCTACACGTGATCACTGATTTCTATTGCAGCTGTACTAGAATGTTTTCTGAGCTGCAGAAAGTCAATTGCGGAATCATGCGCTGCAAAGTGTCCGTTCCGCGCACAGACAAGTGGCAGACCGGCAATGCTCTGCGGAAAGAGCACTGTGTGTGTGTGTGAAGGATCCAGAGCAGGACAAAAACGCCACCTTTGTGCAGACCTGGTTTCTTGGGTTTCCAGATGTGGTTCTCCGGTTGAGGTTTGGAACTTCGACCCGAACGCCACCTACAACGACAGCGCCGGCGAGGCGCAGTTCGCGCCCTACGTGGGCGGCATACAGCCCGGCACCTTGACCATGGGGAAGCGCTTTGCGGAGCTGGGCTACGTCACACACCTCAACGGCAAGTGGGGCATCGGCGGTGCATCCTTCTTGAACACGCCCATGGGAAGCTTGGAGGCTAAAGTTTAGGTGCTTTTCGTGGATGCGAGTAGCTCGAAGTCAACACCAGCCTCAAGATTGTTGTCATCTTTTTGAAATGCGCCTCCAGAGTCTTTGCAGCAGCAAGCCAGCTGCGCCAGGCTTCGTCTCCTTGGTAAAAGCAGCACGACATGCTATCAGGCTCCCTTCACGCCAATCATTCAAGGGGTATTGTCATATTCTGTGCGTTTGCTTCGCAAACCAACTCGCCCAAACCTTCTTCACCGTGCCCAAATGGAAGCGAAGGAAATGTCAGGAGAAATCGATTTCCCCACCGGTGGCTCGTATCTTCAGCTTCCACGTTAGTACGGAAGGTAAATGAGATAAAGAAATGGATGATGTCAGCCTTGCTTTGTTTGCTGCCCGCTGAGTCGTGCTAAATTCCATAGCAGTGCAGGAAAATATGTCGGCCAGAGATAGAGAAGCAGAAACATCTACGGCGACGGCAAGATTTCAAGAACACATTCCAATTGATTTCAGCCCAACCCTTTCCGTGTGTGTGTGTGTGTGTGTGCTCTTTGTCATTTCTTCGGCGGAGGGTTTGTCGTCGCGCAGTTGTTGTATGGTTTTCCTACCGTTTCCTTTTTTTGGACAAACAATCGACCGAAATCGCTGAATCTGGTTTGTTTGAAGCTTGCCCAGTGCCATGTGATCCACCTGCTGCTGGCTATGTCAAACTATGTCAAACTGCAAGCAAATGGGCAGCAGAAAAGCAGGCAAGGCGAGGAGCAGGCAACAGGATTCGCTCGCACGGCGCCAGCATCCTTTACTTCTTTCTTGTGTTTGGCAATGCTTGGTAACACGTTTCTGGATGCCCCATCAAAAGCACAATGCCCAGTTTCATTCGCTTTCGGGCCAGTTGCTGCATCTATTTGTCAGTACATGCCACTCCTAGCAAAGTCTACCAAGGCTTTCGAACAAAAAGGCGCCCGGTGTTGTTCTTTCTCCCGGAATGCTGGCATCGTCGGGACAACTGCATCGTTCCTCAACTGGTTTTCTATTTGCGCCCGGATTGGGTCAATCTGTTGAGCACCAGGAAACCTTGAATCAAAGGCGCGTTCTTGTTCTCCCAAGTCGTCGTGGCAAAGCCGCGAGGTCGCTTTCGTTGGAGACATGGTTGGGTCGGTTTGCAGTTTCATTAAGGAAGGGAAGGGGACACCGGCTGAATAGAGAGAGAGAGAGAGAGAGAGAGCTGGATGCGGCTTCAGTTTTCACGAGGGCACAGCTCTCTGAGAAAAACGCTGTAACTCCAGCGATCTTCCACTGCAGTACCATTGTTTTTTGCTCCCGGTGTTCTTTGCTTGTGTTTTGCCTGGATATGAAGGATCTGTTGCCCATGAGGGAATCAGTGCTGCGGGCTGGCTGTCGTTTTCGGGCCGGTGCCAGGTGCGCGTTGTGAGGATCCAAGGGGACCTAAACTTGAGACACCATTAGGCAACAACTTCACAGGGAATCCGGACAACCACTGTGAGACTTTATAGTGTGAAGTCTCGAGTTACGAGCTACGTGAGGATTCTTTTTTGCCATGCCTCACTTGTCGGGATTTTGAGTTGTTTGCTCACCTGTTCTTCCAGAGAACGAGGCACCGAAGATGCCATGGGCCAAGATTCCCCTCAGGCACTCCCTAGGTGGTTTGGATTGGCGGTTTGGGGCTTGAAGCAAGACAAATGGGGAAACCCCCCCTCCACCAAAGCACCAAACCACCGAACCTCCAATCCACCCAGAGGGAAGCTGAAAGGGTTCCGACTTCATGGCAATGTATCTTAGGCCCAAGGACCCAATGGCCAAGCTAACACCCAATGGCAATGTATCTTAGGGCTAGGCCCAAGGAATAACCCCAAAGCTCAGGAATGGGGGAATGAGTTGGAATGACCCTATACCAAGAAAAGTCCAACTGGTGGTTTCCTAAATGGCCAAAGCCTGGGTTCATTCCATGCCAAGGAATGGGCTACTCCAGCTTTCTGGGCTGGTTCGGCGACAGCATGGAGAGCTGCGACGGCGCGGAGCCCGGCTTCGCGGTGGGCGGCGCCGGGCCCTTCTTTGACGCCCTGCCGGGGTTTTGGCGCCCCTCGGCGCATCCAAAACCCAAACACCCGGGAGCCAGCTGTGGGGCTGGGATTAAGGTCCGTGGTAGTCCATGTCGGTGGTGGCATCCAAGACCCCAGCTTGGGCTTTGTGTGTTTGTAAGCTTGCGACCCTGGCAGGATTTTTTTTGACTCTGAAGCTGCTAAGTCCAAGTTCAAAGGCACGCTCGGGGGGTCCTGCTCATTTGCATCGCTCATCCGTCAGAGGAGAAGTTAGGACTTCCACACTTCTTACTTTGCTTTGTTTATATTTCTTGGGCCATCCGTTCGGGATGAACAACACCGAGTGGGTGCACGCTGCAGGCCAAGATTCTCAGGCGAGTTTTAACGCCTCCTGGTGCTCCCTGTTGAAGAGCGCCCAATTGACAGAGGAGGAGATCTCCGTAGGCTGCAGGAGCTTCAAACAGGAGACGAATTGGAAATGCGTCGAGTTGGTGTTGATGTTGGGGATAGAGAACTTGTGGTCGGCCCTTTCCTGACTTGAGAGTTGCCTGGAAGAAGTTGTGCCATGAATTTCAATCGGGGACCCCCAGTGGTTGGTGGACAGAATTTTTAATTAAATTTAATTTTGATGTCCACCAGTTCGGGTCCCCAAATAAAATGGCATACCCTTCTCACTCGCCCGGTTTCGGATTCCTTTTCGAGGAGCTCGACGATGTGGCAGACGAAATGATCCGCCGGCGCTCCCGGGAGATCATCACGCAGCACGACTACGAGAAGCCGCTCTTCTTGGTGCACGCCTTGCAGCTGATGCATTTGCCCATGCAGCGCCAGGGCATGGGGTCGGAATATATCTTTTTTTCTTCTTTCTTCAGGTTGGTTTAAATGGAAGCTTGAAGGGCAACCAGAAATGTTAGGCGCATCCCTATTTTGACACATACCCATGATGGTAATCCCTGGACATGTTTATATGACTTTTGAGGTGCCCCTCTGGTCTTTTGCAAGGTACCCGAAGCGCTTCGCGCCAACGGTGACCAATGCCAGAGAACCCCTCAACGAAGACTTGCGCGCAGCGACCTATGGCGCCCTCAAGTATGTGGATTGGGTCATTGGGGACCTGATCGATGCTGTGAAAGAGCAAGACCAGTAGCTAGTCCGAGCTTGAATCAATATTTTTCAGCCAAGGCTGGAAGCCCACTAATATGTTGAGGAGTTGTTGAACAGTCAGCTGGTTACCGGTTTGTTTTGCCCCGGAGACATTTGCTTTCTCGAGAATCCTAGCTATCATTCTTTGGAGTGCGCATTGAACATAACTTATTTGTTTGTTTCTGATCGAGACCTTCTTGACGGCACAGCCGATTTTGCATCTTGGGCTGTTCTGACGAATGCAGCGAGTACCGAACTGCCTGCCAAGTGCAGGTATGACAACACTCTTGTCTTTCTCACATCTGACAACGGCGGGGCCATCTACGCAGGAACTGCCAACAACAACTTCCCGTTGCGAGGTGGCAAGTTCAACAACTTTGATGGCGGACAGAGGGTGAATGCCCTCTTCAGTGGTGGTTGGATAGAAGGCGCATTGAATCACTACGACTTAAAGGCCTTTTACAGTGAGACGGTCATGGCCATGAATGATGTCCCGGAGACCTTGCTCCAGATGGTCACCGGGAGGCCCTTCCCGGACGGTGGCATGAGAAACAAGCCGGGACCATTGTCTGGGATCCCTTTGTGGGACAAGATTCTACAGAAGCGCCAGGTGCCACGAAGGATCACGTACTCAGAGACCATGGAGATCAAGGTGGGCCCGAACATCGCTGACTTGCGAAAGATCTGGTTCACCGAGAACAACACCATCATCGCGGATGGCAACTGGTCCACAAACTTTCCAACCAATATTGAGTTCATCCCAGATCTCGCCTACCTCTACGTCCGTCCTTGTGGGGAGCCCTATTGCCATTTCGACTTGTACAGTGACTCCGGCGAGCAGAGCAACATCATTCTGTCCCCAGCACAAGAGCAGCGCATGCGTCAGGACGTCTTTGATGCCTGGAACGACAACATCCTCGACAGCGCGCGCATCAAGTCTTTGAACGGGAGCAACGGGTTGCCTTTTCAAGTGGCACTGTGGACCTACTACGGCAACTCAGGCCCCTTTGTGAACCTGGACGCAGAGCCGATCTCGGTACCTGCCCAGTGTTGGTGCGACTGGATTGATGATGGTGTGGCCCCGGAAGAGGTCACCCACATGATCATCAACCTCTACCTTGGTATACGATGCACCAACACCATCAAGGCGTTTGGGATCGCAGGAGCACTTGCCTGTGAGCGTCCTTTGAGCCTAACTCAGGCGCCCATCAATTTCTCTCTTCAGGAGAATATGTGGAAGACGATCGGCTATGAGACCAGCAACTTCTCTTCTATCCTGACCGCTCAGTGGAACGAGGGCCCTGTAGAGCTGCTGTTTCCCTTGCCCCTGCTGGAATGGAACTTTGCGGCAATCCACGGATTGCAGACTCTCGGCCCAAACAAAATTGACTACCTTCACATTGCACCTCTTCTTTACAAAAAAAGGGAACCCCTCTCTGAGGCTTTTGGAACCCACCCCTCAACCTGAGGAGCATGAATGCCCGCAGGGGCTTTGAGAATTGGGCGAACATCGAGAAGTACCCCTTCAACCTGGCCATCCGCGACCGCTGCCCCCAGATGGAGATCTTCACGGCGCCCACGCCGCGCACCCAGGTCACCGACTGGTTCATCTCCGCGGGCTTCTTCAACAACCCCACCGCCGGCGCGGGGGGCAACGGGAGGTTGGCCATGGTCCTGGAGAAGCTGAACTTCACGTTGGACAACAAGGTCGGGTGTGGGTCCAAATGAAACCACCAGAAAAAAAGAGGAAACAAAAAACATACTAAGCCGTTTTGGGGTTACCCTATTTGTCAGCAGCAGTCGAGTGAAGGTCCGGGGCTGTTTCATCGTGGGAGAGGACGCCATGCAGTGCCCCATCTTGGACAACAAGCCGCCGCTGGTGGATCCCTTCGACGTGCCGAATCGCACCTTCCAGGACTGCCTCGACAACTGCATCCTGTGGGATCCGGATGCGTGAGGCTGTGAAGGGCTCGGGCTCGTGTTCGGTGAAGGAAGCAACGGTTGCAAGAATCCTGGCAATTTTTATCAATTGCTTGATCCTGAACAAAGATTTTGGGTTGCTCAGGCCTCAACACACTCAGGTTTTGTTTTGTTCATGGTGGAGCTTTGGCTGTTGCATTGAATATATTTGTTGGTTGTGCCAAGTTTGTTTGCGTAGGGCGTAGTTGCACATCTTTTGGGAGTTGATAGACCAACTCGACCAGTGCTTGTGATCAAAGACTCGCAATGCCTGACAATTAGCCGGATTGGCTGTGATTGCCAGACCGGTGTTGCCAATTCAGTGTGAGGAAGCTCCTCAATTTTCTGTCACCCAAAGCATCGCAAAAAAAAAGCGGTCGGATGGCCCGACTCGTGGTGTCTCGTTTTTTGGACATCATGGGCAACGTGCCATGGTCGGTTGGCTGGTTTGAAGCTCCAGCCAAAGGTCTGGTTGGTGAGGCTTCGGCTATTAGCCGCACTTCGGCTTCGGAGCTCAGCTCTCGCAGATTTTGTTTGCCTCTGGTACAGCTGGTGAGTGAAGCCATGTCTGCAAGGATTGACTGAACCATGCTTCAAGCCCGTTACATATTTTTTTCCGACACAACAACGTTGTTTGGAGGTGCCCCAAGGTTCGCGTATCCCTTAAGGACCCATGAATGCACCTAGCGTAACCCAAAACCCCACACCGAAGTCAAGACGTTCTACGTGAATCGGTGGGGAAAGCTATGGGAAGCCCGCCATGCCCAATGCGTTTTTCCGCCCGATGGAGGGCGGCGCAACGTTCAGTTCGCGGCCTCGCGGACGGTTTCAACCGGCTGTGTGTCAAAAATTGGTACCCAGAATTGAACCCTGTGAGTGGTAACGTGGACTAAAACCTGCTGTTCCCTGGTGGTTTACTTCTGACCTCTTGGAACGCCTTTCCAAGGTGTGGGCCATGCTGCGAGTGCGCCCCAGGCACGGAGCAAGCCGAAGCTGGCAGGGATGCCAGCGGAAGCGCTTCAGCCGAAAAGGCTCGGCAAAAGACGCCAAGACTTGGTGGTTTTTTTTTCCCCAGATAGCTGAAAGCTATAGAGGTTCTAACTTCTAGCAAAGCGGGGGAAAGTGATTTGCGAGATTGACGGCTGGGTGCTATGAGGGCGTGCAGTTGGGGTGCCGCAGATGCTGGTAGGGTGTGCTGTTTGGGGAGCTGTGGCGGTGCGGGCGTATTTTTGACAAGATAGAATGGCAGAGTGCCGCGTGCAGTTTTGGCGTGCTGTTTGGAGTGTTGCTTGAGGTGCTGGTGACGTGCGGCGAATTATGGATTGCCGGGTGCTGGGGGGCACAAGCACGCAAGTGACGGTGCGGGAGCAGTTTCGCAAGATTGACCGCAGGGTGGTATGGCGTGCAGTTTGGGGTGCTGGTGCAGGTGCTGTTTTGGGATTCTGTTTGGGGCTGTTTAAGGTGCTGGTGACGGGTGCGGACGCATTTTTATTCGATTAGTGGCAGTGCTGTTCGAAGCGACGGCGCGGGCATTTTGCCGGATTGACAGTAGGGTGCTAGGGGGCATGCAGGTTGGGGTGCTGGTGCAGGTGCTGTTTTGGGGCGCTGGTGCTTTTTTCTATTTGAGGTTTATGCTGGTGTGTTTTTTCCGTTTCCTACAAGGCACAAGCAAATAGTGCCACCCTGTTTAGCTGCAGGTTGTTCTCAGTAGACACAGGATTTGTCTCAAAATTGCTGGAGGGGGGCGGGCCAAAAACGGCAATGCTTTTTTTTTCCTCGTGTTTAATGACGTTCATCTTCCTTGCCACAGAAAGGTCATCTGTATAGGTGTATCTATATTATTATATATATATATATATACACATATATATATATATATATATATTATATTATATATATATATATACAGTGCACATATCATGTACAACATATCGGATGATTGCGGGCCATGTCTGGGTCACTTAATCTCCGGCCTTGCCGGCTTAAAACACTCAGACGGACTTCCCAAGACTGCATTGTAACCAAGACCCTGCGCAGTTCTGAAAGTAATAGCTGGCATCTTGGTCAACCCTTCTTTCAACATTTTAGTGCCCCCCAAAGCGGGCACTTCTGGAAACCAAGGTCAAAACAGACAAAGGCGTTTTGTGCCATGTTCTCTTCCCAGCTTTGTGGATTTGTATGCTCACAAAGTAGGTACCACGGGCTTCCCATGCGTCACCTACACGTTGAGAAATCTAGCTCAAAGCCGCCATACTTTTTAAGCGGCAACCTCCACTGGAACGATGGGGATGAGCTAAGCAGGGCCCTTGAGGGGCATGTGTGACCTTCTTCGTTTGCACGCTCCAGAACACACGCCACACACACACAAACACAAACACGAACACGAACACGGGCTCGAACACGAGCGCAAGCACAGCACACAAGCAAAAGCACAAGCACAAGCAACAACAACACCACATCAAACCCAAAGCCCTCCCAAAGTCGAAAACCTAGACCCAAACGCAAACCCTGCAAGACTAGCACGAGCACGAGCACGAGCACACGCACGCAAGCGCAAGAGCAAGCACAAACACCAACACCAGCGCCAGAACCAACGCCAACGCCAAACCAACCTCAAACCCCACCCCAAACCGAACCCCCGAACGCAAACGCCTCAAGCACATGTGCAAGCAAGCAGCGCCAGCACCAACGCGGGCAGGAGCGCAAGCGCAAACACAAGCACGAACACGAACACAAACACTAGCACCAACACCAGCACAAATTAAGTAACGAACGAACAAACTACCCAACTAACAAACAAACTAACAAACTGTCGATCTAACGAACTACCGAACGAACTAAATATCGAACTACCAAACTAACGAACCAATGAACTAACAAGCAAGCGAGCAAACTAACAAACTAACGAACCAGCGAACGAACTAACGAACGAACAAACACACGGACCAACCAACCAACTAGCGAGCTAGCTAACCAGCTAACCAGCTAACTATATGACACACGCAACGCACGCACGCATGTATGCTCACAGACACACACACACAAACAGACACACAGCGCCAAACTGAATCTTTGCACGCTGCATTCGCTCAGCCAGCACTCTTTTCCTGGTATCTCACCAGCGTTCAAGACATCCCGTGCAGGGCAAGCTATTGACGAATGCAGCCTTCCCTATACTCACTGGACGTGAGCCGGGCTTTGGGTTACGGTCTCTTGACCGCAGGTCGCGGCGGGGAAGCCGGCCAGGCGAAGCTGAGGAAAACACATCCAGGAAATCTGGCTCTGGTTTTCTTGCGGGGACTCTTTTTTGTTTGGTGTTTGTTTTTTAATAAACATTGGCTCATAAAGCCTCTTGACGCCTGGCTGAACGGCCTGAGAATTGGCTTTGGTTTCTTGCGGGGACTTTTCTTTTACATTTGCTCGTAAAGCCTCTTGACGCCTTCCTGAATGGCCGGAGAGTTGGCATTGGTTTCTTGCGGGGACTTTTCTTTTACATTTGCTCGTAAAGCCTCTTGACGCCCTTTGGTTTCTTGCGGGGACTTCTCGTTTACATTTGCTCGTAACGCCTCTTGACGCCTTGCTGAACGGCCGGAGAGTTGGCATTGGTTTCTTGCGGGGACTTTTCTTTTACACTTGCTCGTAAAGCCTCTTGACGCCTGGCTGAACGGCCTGAGAATTGGCTTTGGTTTCTTGCGGGGACTTTTCTTTTACATTTGCTCGTAAAGCCTCTTGACGCCTTCCTGAATGGCCGGAGAGTTGGCATTGGTTTCTTGCGGGGACTTTTCTTTTACATTTGCTCGTAAAGCCTCTTGACGCCCTTTGGTTTCTTGCGGGGACTTCTCGTTTACATTTGCTCGTAACGCCTCTTGACGCCTTGCTGAACGGCCGGAGAGTTGGCCTTGGTTTCTTGCGGGGACTTTTCTTTTACATTTGCTCGTAAAGCCTCTTGACGCCTGGCTGAATGGCCTGAGAATTGGCATTGTTTTTTTTGCGGGGACTTTTCTTTTACATTTGCTCGTAAAGCCTCTTGACGCCTTGCTGAACGGCCTGAGAATTGGCATTGGTTTCTTGCGGGGACTTTTCTTTTACATGTGCTCGTAAAGCCTCTTGACGCCTTGCTGAACAGCCTGAGAATTGGCATTGGTTTCTTGCGGGGACTTTTCTTTTACATTTGCTCGTAAAGCCTCTTGACGCCCTTTGGTTTCTTGCGGGGACTTCTCGTTTACATTTGCTCGTAACGCCTCTTGACGCCTTGCTGAACGGCCGGAGAGTTGGCCTTGGTTTCTTGCGGGGACTTTTCTTTTACATTTGCACGTAAAGTAAAGCCTTTTGACGCCTTGCTGAACGGCGTGAGAATTGGCATTGGTTTCTTGCGGGGACTTTTCTTTTACACTTGCTCGTAAAGCCTCTTGACGCCTGGCTGAACGGCTTGAGAATTGGCATTGGTTTCTTGCGGGGACTTTTCTTTTACATTTGCACGTAAAGTAAAGCCTTTTGACGCCTTGCTGAACGGCGTGAGAATTGGCATTGGTTTCTTGCGGGGACTTTTCTTTTACACTTGCTCGTAAAGCCTCTTGACGCCTGGCTGAACGGCTTGAGAATTGGCATTGGTTTCTTGCGGGGACTTTTCTTTTACATTTGCACGTAAAGTAAAGCCTTTTGACGCCTTGCTGAACGGCGTGAGAATTGGCATTGGTTTCTTGCGGGGACTTTTCTTTTACACTTTGCTCGTAAAGCCTCTTGACGCCTGGCTGAACGGCTTGAGAATTGGCATTGGTTTCTTGCGGGGACTTTTCTTTTACATTTGCTAAAGTAAAGCCTCTTGACGCCTTGCTGAACGGCCTGAGAATTGGCTTTGGTTTCTTGCGGGGACCTTTCTCGTGATTTGCTCGCAAAGCCTCTTGACGCCTTGCTGAACGGCCTGAGAATTGGCTTTGGTTTCTTGCGGGGACCTTTCTCGTGATTTGCTGTTGTTTGGGTGGGGAGCTTTTGAGTTCTCAATTTGTCAGTGACTTTAAATTTTGTTAGAGGCACTGCTACAGTTTGAAGCCAAGAGCCTCGAACGGTTGCGCCCTTGAACATGGGAGCCGCTTCATCAGCAAGGGATCTCAATGCAGTTGCCGTGCTGCGTCCGCAAATTTTGTCTCGGCCCAAGAGCACTGCCCCTTGCGGCGTTGCAGTTGCACGCGCCTGAGCTCTATGCCGAGTTTGATCAACTGCGCTTGCAGGCCATCAACGCTGTCCTTGGGGATCGGATGTTGCGAAAACGGAGTTGGACCACCACAAAGGCCTTGTGATATACATAGGTTCCCAGAACCACCCAAGTTCACAAGAGCCTGTGTGAATTTTGAACAGTTGCGTGTG